TGCTCTCTCTCTCTCTCTCTCTCTCTCTCTCTCTCTCTCTCTCTCTCTCTCTCTCTCTCTCGCCTTCTTCCTGCTCCCTCCCCTGTTTATGATTCGCTCTTCAACCATACCCCTCCTCATTCCTTTCAGCCCCCCAACCCGTCACCAATCTACAAAGACTGAGACTGGGATTGTTGGGGAGGGCGCCAGAGAGCGAGAGAAAGTGTGAGAGAGAGAAAGCGAGATATATATATATTCAGATTTCAGGATGATTTTTATTCACTTTTGTGACCTTTGGCCCATACATCCACACATTGTAACATATGACTTGGCTAATACTTAAGTTGGTGCAGCACAACATATTATTGCATAAACTGTGGATAATACTATTGAAGGAAGAAGTACAAAAATACATACATATATACATACATGCATACACCACACACACACACACACACACACACACACACACACACACACACACAGACACACAGACACACACACTCACAGACACGCAGACACAAACACAAACACACACACGCACACGAGAGAGAGAGAGAGAGAGAGAGAGAGAGACAGACAGACAGACAGACAGACAGACAGACAGACAGACAGACAGACAGACAGACAGAGAGAAGAGAGAGAGAGAGAGAGAGAGAGAGAGAGAGAGAGAGAGAGAGTAAAGCGGATGATTAAATACCACAAAACATAAATCGTTGACGTCCGGCACGCGTTTCCTGCTTCGTCCAGGCTGCCTCCCTTCGATCACTTACCCGGGTCGTTTAAATAAAAATGTCGGCCCTACGTTCATTTTCTTCAAGGATTACTCCCCCACTTCCTCTGTATTTCCGGCCGTCCATGCGAGTGACGTGGACAGCCAATCAAAAGGCGGGCCTTGTGTCTGCGCACGACAGGAAGGAGGAGAGAAGACACGGGAAATGGCGCACAAGAGAAATCCTGGACGAGTGCCATTCAGCATATAATTTATTTACGAACCCAGTCGTGGCCGTCAAGGGAGCGACTATTCATGAGCACGGATCCCTTTTGCTTGACAGAGAAAGGGGTCTCTCATTGTGAGAGACTTTGACGAGACCTTTGGTGGACTTTCAGGCAAACAGGACCCAAATGAGTCCTAGCTTTAGTGGGGGTTGGATTATAGTTGGGTGAAAATTTAGAAATTTAAATCAATCTGAGTTTTTTTGTTTTTTTAAGGAACAAAAGATTTAAACATAACCTGGAATGTACGTTAAGTTATCTGGAATCCATTTTAAAACACAAACATAGACCATTATGTTAACCCGATGGGTCGGGGAAGCTGGAGAAGGGGAGGGAAGGAAGGGAAAAAGGGGGGGGGTGCATTTCCCTGCTCTAAACGAGACCTGTTTTAGTTTTAGTTTTAGTAGAGGTTTTTACGGCGCTCACAACTGCATAAGGTCATATGAGCGCCAGAAGATTAGAGGTGTTACAAGAGAGTAGCAAACATAAAAAAGAAGAAGGGGAGATAAGGAAGATAGATGTTTGATAGGAAAGAAGAAGCAAACCACACCAGAGCACCAGCCAACCACCCACAATGAGACCTGTGAAATTTGTTAGCTTTTCAAAATGAGATATTATAGAGATACATTCACTGTTCGAAAAGTGACGACGTATGAGCAATCAAATTCCAGGTGGTCTAAATTTCTAGTTTAAACAGTTTTTTTTATTCTGTTCTCCATCAGTATACTTGTGAGTTTCTGGAATCAATTCCACTGAACACGTCACATGTGTACACTTTGGCACTGTCTGTCTGTCTGTCTCTCTTTCACTCTCCTCTCTCTCTCTCTCTCTCTCTCT